TTAACAAAGCAAATGTTTTAACAGACGCACATTATCTAGTTAACCTGGATCAGACAAAACCTGAATGTTCCAAATGACAGTCTCAACTCTCATTTCTTGTCCCAAATGAATAGACCTTGAGAACAACCAGTAACCTTTCAGTAAACTTGAAAAAGTGTGAAAACATGTGACAGTTAATTGAATTTCTGAGAATTCAGTTTCTTCTAAGAAATGCGAGAGAAACCCTAATTCTTGATCTACTGCCAAATAAAAATCTGTCTGATCGATTCCTGAGCCAATCTTGAAAATCTGAGAAAACCCTAGGGTTGTGATTTCTTGTGAAATAGGGAGGGCAAATTTTGGGGTACAACACCATGCTATTGAAGAGGATCTGTATGTTGCTGCTGTTGATGATTTGATGACTCTGTTGCCAATAATCAAGATGAATCTGTTGAAAGCCGGGATTTTCCCAGGCTGTGGAAAAAATTGTTACCTCTGTTCATCCTTATAATCCGACTGTCCGATGTTGAAGTTAGGCATCCAACGCCTAATGGATAATCAAGAAATCCTCTTTGAGAAAACTCTTGTTACTCTGATTCCTATCAAAGATGTTGCTATAATTACCATTTCCACCAATCTTTCCAAGGTCTCCAAAAGACCTGTTAAGATTACATCCGATCCAAAGATTGTACCTCTGAAGATAATTATGCCATGGCCTATCCCATACAAGTCCAACAAATCAATACCGTGGAATTATGGAGGATAGATCTTCTACCACGGTGTTAAGCAGATTGAATCAGTTGAAGAAAGTTCCGATGAAGAGACTCCTGACATAGGAAATATTGCTGGGATGAGTAAAGTCACCCGCAGTGGAAGAATTTTCTCTCCGGAGATTGCTCCTCCAAGGGCAGTCTTCGAACCCTCAATTGCTCCTAAGGTTACTCCTGTGCCAGTCAACATATCTGTGAGAACTCCAGTTATCAAAGAAATTGTGACTCATGTGGTTGTACCCTCTGCTGTTGCTGCCGATAAAGGTAAGGGGATCCAAGAAGCGCCCGTCAGGACGAGTGCTCAGCCTTTGGTCATCCCCGATACCACTCAGAAGGAAATGGAGGAGATTTTAAAAATAATTAAGAAAAGCGACTATGATGTCGTAGAACAACTGGGGCAAACCCCTTCAAAAATCTCTATGCTGACCCTGTTGCTCTGTTCCGAAGCTCATGCCAAAGCTTTGATCAAATTCTTGAAGACGGCCCACGTGCCTTAGGAAACCTCCGCGGACTAGTTCCAGGAGTGTGTAGCTAGCCTAACAACCGACAATGGTCATGGCTTCTCCGATGCCGATTTAACATATAAGGGGAGAAAGCATAATGACGCGCAGCATGTCTCGGTGGAATGCAGAGGGACTACTTTAGGTCACGTTCTGGTTGATACCGGGTCGCCTTTAAATGTCTTGCCGAAGAAAGCATTGGAAAGATTGGACTGTGAAGGTTTGACCCTGAAGCCCAGAAATATCATTGTCAGAGCCTTTGACGGTTCTAAAAGGATGGTCCACGGGGAGGTGGACATCCCGATTAAGGTGGGAACAGAAACTTTCAACTCCACGTTTTATGTGATGGACATCCGTCCCTCCTACTCTTGTTTGTTAGGAAGAGCCTGGATCCATAATGTTGGGGCCGTCACTTCTTCTCTACACCAAATGCTCAAATACCCAATCCAGGGGAAAATTATAACAGTTCATGGCGAGGAGGAGTATATGATAAGCCACCTTAATTCATTCCGCTATGTTGAATTAGATGGTGAATTCATCGAGACCCCCTTTCAGCACTTCGAAGAAGTTTCTCCTGAAGTGGCGACAGCCAAGACAATAACTTCAGTACCCATCATTACCAAACCTGTGTCCTGGATGTCATCCCTTAAAGATGCGAAGGTTGTGATCGAGGAAGGAGGAAGCACAATATGGGGGTCAGCTACCAGATTTTCCTTTCAAGGCAGATAAGTTCGGCTTGGGTTTCACTATTTCTGCTCAAAAGGTTATGCGCCGCTCCCGGGCTGGAGAGCCACCATTGAAGATCACCCATCATGGAGTTCATGCTTTGAAGGATAGTGAAGATGAGAGCAACTTTAAAGACTGTATTTTCCCGACTATTGAAGGAGGGTTGAACAACTAGGAGGCAAAGGACTTTGTTCCCATTACTTTCATAAATCAGTAATTTATCTTTTGAACATTTCTATTGGTCTGTAATAATTCTTAAACAATTCGTACACTATTTTTGCCTTGTGCCTTACCCGGGGCACATAGGTCCATTTGTAAGGGCTTGATTTTTCATCTTCATATGCCATTTTTAATGAATCATGGACGTTTTCACATATAAAATTTTGTGTTCATTTTCTTTCTTTTTACATTTTATTTGTTTAAAGGTGGCTATCCCTTACACACACCTACACTCACAAAATGCAGGTACCCTTCCATTCCGGATTCCATGGGTGACAATTGTGCTATGGCCTTCAGTGACTCTGAAGATCTGGTCAATCATGCCGAATACGAAGGTGATGAAGACTGTGAGGTTCCGGGAGAATTGGCTAGACTTATACAACAGGAAGAAGGGGCTATTTTGCCCCATGAAGAGCTGTTAGAGACAATCAACTTGGGTTCTGATGAAGACAGAAAAGAAGTCAGAGTGGGTGCCAACCTTGAGCCAAGTGTCAAATAGCGTTTAGTTCAGCTGTTGAATGAATATGTTGATATCTTAGCCTGGTCTTACAAAGACATGTCGGGAATCGATACAGATATTGTGGTTCACTGTCTCCCTACAAGAGAGGACTGTCCACCAATTTAACAGAAAGTCTGCCGAATGAGGCCCGATATGTCTGAAAAGATCAAAGCCGAAGTGATGAAGCAGTTCAATGCTAGGTTTCTTGTTGTTACTTCCTATCCATAATGGGTTGCTAACATTGTGCCTGTGCCTAAGAAGGACGGCAAAGTCAGAATGTGCGTGGATTACAGAGACTTAAATAGGGCTAGCCCTAAAGATGACTTTCGACTACCGCATATTGACATCTTGGTTGACAATACAACTCAGCATAAGGTATTTTCTTTCATGGATGGATTTTCAGGGTACAACCAGATTAAAATGGCACCCGAAGACATGGAGAAAACTACCTTTGTTACACAGTGGGGTACCTTCTGCTATAAAGTGATGCCATTCGGACTGAAGAATGTCGGGGAAACCTACCAGTGAGCCATGATGGCTTTGTTTCATGACATGATACATCATGAGATTGAAGTCTACGTGGACGACATGATAGCCCGTTCACAGACAGAAGAAGAACACCTCGACCATTTGCAAAAGCTGTTTGTCAGGTTGAAGGAATATAAACTCAGACTAAACCCTAACAAGTGCACTTTCGGAGTCAGGTCCGGTAAACTCTTGGGATTCATCGTCACCAACAAAGGCATTGAAGTTGATCTTGCCAAAGTCAAAGCTATACAAGAAATGCCTACCCCTTGCATTGAGAAGGAGGTCAGAGGTTTCTTGGGACGCCTAAACTACATTGCAAGGTTCATTTCTCACCTAACATCTACCTGTGAGCCAATCTTCAAGCTGTTGAAGAAAGATCAGGTCGTTAAATGGAATGGTGACTGTCAAGTTGCTTTCGATAAAGTCAAGGAGTATTTTCTAGAATCTCCTATCTTGATGCCTCCCGTCGAAGGTAGACCGCTAATCATGTACCTGATTGTTTTGGATACACTACAAGAAAAATGATAGATTGGGACGGTTATTTTGGCTGATTACGACGGTTAAAACCGTCGCAATTTACAATCTACGACGGTAGAAGTACCGTCGCAGAATCGTGCGTCCCCAGCCTATTTCGCGACGGTTGCAAAAACTGTCACGCACAACAGATAGCGACGGTTATATACCGTCGTGAATTTGACTTTATTTTTTGTTTTTGTTGTTGTTTGCGACGGTTACTCTACCGTCGTAGGTTAGAAATTGCGGCGGTTTTAACCGTCGTAATCTGATTTATAAATTTCAAATAATATTTTTATTTAAATTATTATTTAGTAAAATAATTTTAAATATAATATTATTTTACTATAATATTTTACTATTATATTTAAATTATTATTTACTTTAATATTTTTTTATTTATAGTATTTTTATTTTATTTTCTATCACTTTTCAACATAATAAAGTTAATTACAATAAAAACATTTAATATCAAATAATCATCAATAATATCAAAAAAATGTGATCAAAGGTAAAAAGAAGTGCAAATTTTACCAATAAACAAGAAAAATTCAAATATCATCAAAGGCCAAATTTCATTTTAATATTTACATTGGTTTGCTACAACTTGAGAGAATTACAAAAAATGTTACAATATTCTACAAAATTACATAGATTCAGTCAATCACATAGATTCAAGTCAATTTAAATATCCACTTCACAAACCTAATCCCTCACATAACAATTTCTAACAACTTTAAGCTAACAGTTATCCATTTCAATTGATATTCCTAACAGTCAGGCCCTAATAATATTGACGATTTTAACTCTTTTTCACACTAACAATTAGCTAACTCAAATTACAATCAGCAACTAACTCTCAGTTTCATTCAAATCTAAAGCCATCCCATCCTAATAGCCAACTATACACAACCTCTCTACAATATTCTACACAGCTTCGTCAACCTTCATCATCAATGGCATCATCGCGACTTCAAGCTTGAAGCATTCCCTCTATTTCAACACCAATCACAACAACAAACTTCAATAATTGAATTGTACCGAATCAATAGAAAATACGTGTGAATCGGAAATAATAGAAGAATGACGAATTAAGAATGCATACCTGAATCACGATTGAAGCGTTGGCGGAGTGACTCCGACGTGTAAGTATTCTTTCTTCTCTCATCATTTTTGTGATGAACTCCACTAATCAAATTAACCTCATTGAAGAAATGATCCACCCATTGCGTCGAGTTAAAACTAAGCCTTTTAACAGCCACAGTATTACCATCTGGCATAACTCCCTAAAATTGAAGATCATGTTGATTGCAACCAAAATTTACATTTGCAATAAATAATTACCAGATTATAATTAAGTAAATAATAAATAACAAGCATGAACGAGACATCTATGTAGTATAAGTCAATGCATTTTCTGTTCAAGTTTGAATTCAATTGCAGACGTACCATCCATAAACCATCCACCATCAGAAGATATGTAAGCTTTGGTGATTATGAAGTCAAGGTCTGTTAGGATTTGTACGACTTCCAGCAGAATTCCTGGTTTATTGACACTATCAATCTGCATTATTGTAAAATGAATCCATTATATATTGCATCAACTTATCTCCATGTGAATACCATGGAAACTAAATGATCTAATGATGATGGCCACTTGATGTAGCCTGATGTGCTGCCTAATTTACTAGGAAATGAAGAAATTATTTAGCAATTCACTGAAAGAGGTTTTAACAGAAGTTCTATCTTCTCAACAAGCTTTCAGTTTGAATTTTCAAATTTCAACTAGTTTTTAGTAAAGAAAATGTTGCTTAAGGTATGTTTCTGCAAAAGTAAACTAATCATAGGAAATCCAGACAGCGTATCAGAATTGACTGAAGGCCAGTAAGTTTAATTCAAAGAAGTTAGGTTAGGTATAAAAAAAATGTTACATGTTTTTTCTCTCTTGTTGGTCCACAAAAAGCCAAAAGGTACAAATGACTTAAAAATCCAATGGCTAGGTTCCCTTCAGCTGGCAAATTAAGACTCAGAATGAGGCCATGAAAAATATTAGAATTAATTAGTTATTTTGAGGAATTATACCTTGATCAATGTACAATCATGGCAACTATCATTGTCCATAGAGACCCTGCGAAGTGGAAACAGAGTTCACTAAAACGAGCAACTTCTTCTAGATATTAAAAATTGCCACCATATTCCTCAAATCCACAAGGAGTTTAACCTATGACACCACTAGGGATTGAACTGATAGCATCTACCTTGTAACAAAGGACTAGTTTTTTTTTTTTTTTGACAAAACAAGAGCTAGTCATTATGAACTAAAAGAAGCTTTTAGATTTATGTTGTGCAGTTCTTTCGCCTTTTGACCTTTAAGATTATGTTAAAGCAGTCAAATGACACTGAAAAGTATGACAATATATATCAGTATCCATAAATGCCAATACTAAAAATCGTCATATTATTATTTATTAAAAAAAATCAGTGCATTTTTTTAGATTTTAAACTTTTTGCAGGATCATTGGAAAAGAAAACAAGTATTGTATTTGAAAGGAAGTTAACTGTGAACCTTGGAGGGTTAATTCTGTTGCTGAAGTTCTCATACTCAGGATCAAAGTATGGCCAACAAACTTTTGCCATTCAATCACCTTCTCCTGTCAAGAAACTGCTTAGTATTCCCTTAATGAAAAGCAACAAAGTCTAGTTAGAGGGGAAAGTAGAAGTATTACTTTCTTATCCTAATCTGCAAATTCAAGAAACAAAAAATGAATCTTTTCAAGAGCAGGAAACCATAGTGAAGGAAACAATAAGTTATGGGTTGATAGAATGGTTCTAGGATTTAATTGTTGCCATTGGGGGTAAGTATAAGGCTAAGATACTAAACAGATTCACTTCTATGATAGTTTTGAAGTGACAAAAGATACTAAACAGATCTGAACTTGTATCTTATAAGAGAAACTGATTATGTTAGTTCATCTAACTAACTCTATCATTATCTAACAATACTAAATGAACAAGAATATTACCAATATAACAAACCTCTCATTGATGATTTATTCCACCGGCGATGACGCCGGCACAGGCTACACTCATTCCGCCAGGGTGTTTGCCAAAAACACCAGACGGAACAACCGCGAATGCTGAGATCACACGAATCCATCTCCCAGAACTTCTCCTTGAAGCCATGGATGATGGAAAAAATCGTGGTTCTTTTTGGCGGTTAGAAAAGAAGTCAAAATCTGCTCTACATGACTTACCATAAGGTCCGATAAGTCTCATCATCTAAAGGCATGCTAAATTTAGACAAATATCAGAGGAATTCACCTCTCATTATTATACTTTTGCTTAAAAGTTGTCAAATTTCAAATAATTTAAGTTTTTATTACAAATTCTAAAACTAAATCAGAAATTTTAAAAATACATACTCGGAAAAGATGCACAATATGTTACCTCGGGAAAAAGTACAAATGGCTCTGGTCGTGCATAATTTTGAAATCCGCCGCGTCCTCGTCCTCGTCCATATCCTCTGCCAGCCATTTAAGCTGAAATTCGACAAAAAGCTGTTGAAGAAGCGACGTAGCAGTGCTGAGTTCGGTGGCTCCAACATATTCCTATAAGATCGTGTATGTTTTGTTCTCTCCAACAACAAAATAGGTTCACAAAGGCGTTTCTAGTGAATAGTAATCAAGAGACATCATATTCCTATCTATAATACACTATGACAATGTAGTAAGCTAGTCGTTACACTGTAATTAGATATAACTTATCCATGCCTTCGAATACACATGACTTTGCCATGCCAAAGACTTGATTTGACATTTTTAATTAACAATCAACTAATAGATAGCAACCTATACATAAACTATTCAACAGAAAAACTTCAAAACAAATAGAGGAACTAAACTGAACTCATTGGACACCTAACTAAATAATTCACTTACCTCACAAAGTAGGGATATACCCAGCAAGATTATAAACACTCAGTGACAAAGATCAAATGGAATTAAACACTCAGTCACAAGATTATGAACACTCAGAACCTATAACCTTGTTAACACAGACCTGTCATTCAGGTTTACTGCTCAAGTTTGAATTCCAACTCAAATCATTTCTCTGCTCCCTTAATCAATCTATGCAAAACTATTTATCAGAATTTAGAATTTAGAAGACATCATATACCTGTACATACTCTTCCAGACTTCCAGGTAAACTGTAATGAATTACCTAAACACAGTTATGACAATGGAGTTTCAATAAGAATTATTGTAACACACAAGACCATTCACATTTCAAAGCAAATGAGGTAGTGTGAAAAACAAAGATAAAAGTGACTACAGATTGCAGAGTGGTTCTAAGAAAAACAGCCTTACGTAAAATGTGGCTATCAGAACATTTGCATTAACAGAGACGAAGTAAAGAGCTCAGTTCTCCATTACCATTTACCCCCATTTTGCAATTTGAAATTTCTAACAATAAATAACTTTTGAGAAAAAACTCGATTGTTTCTGATACAGCTAGATAACAAAGGTCTAAAACATAGACACAGAGAAAGCGGGTCACCTTGCAACAAGAGCACAATGAGAAAAGTGGGTCATCATGCAAACTAATGCAAAAATAAAATATAATATAAGACTTACTGCTCCAACATCTCTTTTATCTAGTCCCATACCAAATGCCACAGTTGCAACAACCTTCATAAAAAAAATTGCAAGGTATGAGTTGGACTAGCAATGTTGTATTAGAAGCATTGCACCATAAAATTGATAAATTGAGTGATTAAAACAATAAAATAAATCTAACCACTCTGATCTTGTTTGAAGCAAACAACTCCTGTACGTTGCCACGTTCCTTTGCAAAAATACCACTATGATAACTCTAAATGATGATTCAAATCAATTGTCAGATTTCACATACAGTGACGTGGGTTACACTTACACAGAATGCCATGCAATGTCAAAAAGTGAAATGTGGAGCTTACCTTTGCCGAGATATTGTTATCATTCAAGTATCTGCTAATTTGATCAGTTTCAGACTGAATAAAAAAAAAATCAATTATCGCATATATAAATATATATGATAATATGATATCCACTGCAAAATAACATTACTTGCAAACTTAAGTAATTAGACACATACTAAACCTGAAACATAAAGAACTTAATAACTTTTACTTTGCAAACAAGGTTGTACATTTCAAATACTGTGGTTGTTGTTGTTGTATAATGCAGATGACTATATAAAACAACATAACTCTGAAATCAAGTACCAGAAAATTTGGAAAATGAAGTCCATATACACACCTGAAATTTGCAGTATACTATGATGCCTTTAACATCCGCAAAAGGAGGAGACTTTATCAGAACCAGTAGGTCTTTCATTCTATCATTGATGCATACGTTTAACAAAATCAGAGAAGGAAAGTTAAAGGGAGTACAGTCAGAAGCGGTAAAATAGAAGCATCTGACTTGCCTATTTTTTATCAAAGACGCCGACAAACGCAAATTGTCCCTTAAGTGTGCATTCTGAATAAGATTTGTAAAAGGAATATCTAGGGCAGACATGATGGCATCTAAGGTTGTGGTTGTAGCAGTTGCTGTCATTGCGAGAACAAAACCTACATTAAGACTTCTATGAAGTAGTGATGCTCTAAGTCTCATGAATGAAGGTCGGAAATTGTGAGACCTGTAAAAAAATCTCAAAATCTAAATATCAACATGGAAGTAGATGCATACAAAGTGAGATCTCCAAATTAACAACATGATTTGGAAGAATTTGCTTAGACAATGCGGCACTGAAATCCCTCACCATTCAGATATACAATGTGCTTCGTCAATAACAACGAGTGAGACAGCTGACCCAGCAGAGATAGCAGACAGAAACTCCTTATTCAAAAACCGCTCAGGTGAAACAAAAAGCACCTGGATGAATTAGAATTGCTAAAATTAGCTTCAGGTAAGTAATGGTACTAACAACATTGACATAATAAATAAACCCACCATGCTTGTAACTTGTATTGCTCATTGAATCGTGAATAAATTGGGGTTTTAGGGTTTATTGTTGGTGATTGGGTTTAATGTCGATATGAATGCTTGTTGTGATGTTTGAATCACAAAGAGCTCAACCCTAAGATTCATGTGAATCTCCAATGGTGAAATCAATGTTAAAGAATGAGAGAGATATGTGAAGATGAGAACAAAGAAAATGTGTTATAGAAAACTTACCGGTTGGAAGATGAGAGATGTTCGAAGTTGGAAGATGAGAGATGTTCGAAGAATAGTGACGCATGAGGACATTAGAATGTATCAACTTCATAGAATATATAATAATGCATAAACTTAACCTTAACAAGAGAGAACTTAAATATACATAACAATTATAATTAGATAAAATATATAAGTTAGCAAGAGATTTTTAAAGGTTTTGGGTGCGACGGTTGTTTTACCGTCGTGAAATGAATTTTAGGACGGATAATTTTACCGTCGTGAAAGGTTTAAGGGTGCGACGGGTGCTTTACCGTCGTGATATGCCTTTTAGGACGGTTAATTTTACCGTCGTGACTAATTGTTGGTGAAAAATCAATGTTAAAAGTGTTAAATGGGGGCCGACGGTTGTTTTACCGTCGTAATAATAATATTATGATGGTTAAATATACCGTCGCAAAATAAATTTTAGGGACGGTTGGTGTCAACTGTCGTAAACACTGTCTCTATATGTCAATTACGACAGTTATCACATAACTGTCGCAATTTTTGTGTCGTTAAACACTAATTTTCTTGTAGTGATAATTCAATGGGGTCCGTATTGGGCCAACATGACGAGTCTGGCCGAAAAGAGCATGCCATTTATTACCTTAGCAAAAAGTTTACCGACTGTGAAACCCGCTACTCACTGCTCGAGAAAACTTGTTGCGTTTTGGTATAGGCTGCTCGCCGGCTAAGGCAGTATATGTTAACTCATACCACTCTACTGATATCTAAGATGGATCCGATCAAGTATATCTTCAAGAAGCCTGCTTTATCTGGAAGAATAGCTAGATGGCAAATGATCCTGACTGAGTATGATATCCAGTACACGACCCAAAAAGCTATAAAGGGGAGTGTGTTAGCTGACCATCTAGCTCATCAAGCTGTCGAAGATTACCAATCCATGAAGTTTGACTTCCCCGATGAGGACATTATGAAATTGGACAACATTGAAGGTAACAGACCGTATGACGGACCTGAATAAGGATCCCGATGGACCCTGTACTTCGATGGTGCTTCCAACGCACTTGGGAACGATATCGGTGTTGTGCTCATCTCACCAGAAGGTTGCCATACACCTTTCACAGCCAGACTCTACTTCAGCTGCACCAACAACATGGCCGAGTATGAAGCTTGCATCTTTGGTCTCAAGGCTGCGATTGACCTAGGAATCAAATCTTCGGTTGTGTTTGGAGACTCCGCTTTGGTCATCAGTCAAATCAAAGGAGAGTGGGACACTAAACATCCCAATCTCATCCCTTATAAAGAACATGTCCTGACATTTCTACTTCATTTCGAGCAGATTACCTTCAAGCACTTCCCGCGAGAAGAGAACCAACTAGCAGATGCTCTAGCTACAATGTCTTCCATGTTTAAACTTAACTAGTATAATGAGGCTCCCCAAATCACCATCGAGCGAAGGGACGAACCTGCACATTGTCACGAGATTAATACTGAAGAAGTAGTGGATCGGCCTTGGTTTCACGAAGTCAAAAGGTATCTCGAAGCTCAAGAATATCCTGAAGGAGCTTCAGTCAATGACAAAAAGTTCTTAAGGAGATTCTCTGCCAAGTTCTTCCTGAGCAATGGTATCCTATACAAGCGCAATCATGATTGCATTCTGCTCCGATGTGTAGACAAGGTTGAAGCTGAGCAGATCATGGCTGAACTGCACAATGGTACCTTTGGCACTCACTCAAGAGGGAATATGATGGCTAAGAAGATTCTACGGGAAGGCTATTACTGGTCTACCATGGAAGCTGACTGCCATCAACATTCTCGTACTTGTCACAAATGTAAAATCTATACGGACAAGGTACACATACCTCTAGTTCCTCTCAATGTCTTAACAGCTCCTTGGCCATTCGTAATGTGGGGAATCAACATGACTGGAGAGATCAAGCCTACAACATCCAAAGGACACCGCTTTATCCTGGTGGCCATTGATTACTTTACCAAATGGGTTGAAGAAGCTTCCTTCACCTCCGTTACAAAGAATGTTGTTGCCCGCTTCATCAAGCAGAACCTCATTTTCCAGTATGATATCCCCGACAGGATCATCACCAACAACGGTACAAACCTGAACAATACTATGATCACCGTTTTATGCGAGCAGTTCCAGATTCAACATCACAATTCATCTCCCTATCGGCCAAAGATGAACGGTGTTGTCGAAGCTGCGAACAAAAATATCAAGAAGATCATTCAAAAGATGACAGTCACCTACAAGGACTGGCATGAGATGTTACCATTTGCTCTATACGGGTACCGTACCACGGCGCGTACATCAACTGGGGCAACACCCTTTTCTTTGGTATACGGCATGGAAGCTGTTTTACCTATCGAGGTTCAGATTCCCTCCTTGAGAATCATGATAGATGATGGTTTGAATGAAGACAATTGGATTCAAACCCGACTTGATCAACTTAACTTGATTGACAAAAAGCGACTTACTGCTGTTTGCCACGGTCAGACGTATCAAAAACGAATGATCAAGGCTTTCAACAAGAAAGTCAGGCGCCAGGTATATCAAGTCGGGGATCTTGTAATCAAGCGGATCATCTTGCCGCAAAGTGATCCCAGGGGCAGATGGACTCCTACCTACGAAGGACCATTTGTGATCAAAAACATCTTTTCTGGTGGGGCAATGATATTAACCACCATGGACGGTGATGACCTTCCGCACCCTGCGAATGCATACATAGTCAAAAGATACTACTCATAAATGACCCGGCAAGTTGAAAACCCGAAAGGGCGACTTGGGCAAAAAAGGGCATCCCGGTGAATCGAAAACCCGAAAGGGCGGTTCAGGAGAAAATTAGGGATAAACAAAAAACATTTGTACACTCGGCAAGTTGAAAACCCGAAAGGGAGACTTGGGCAAAAAAGGGTTTCCCGGTGGATCGAAAACCTGAAAGGGCGGTCCAGGAAAAAGTTAGGGAATTTAAGCGTATGACTATGCCTCGTCGGATCACCTTAAGGACAATATCTTCACAGACAAGCTCCTGGCTTCTGATCAACTCGATAATCTTCGAGCGAAGCAATGAATGAACAAGATATCCAGAGTTACGAAGGCTATAGCAGAATGGGAACCCCATGGAATTGTTACACATAGCCATCTTTCTTTGTATAAATTTTTCTCATTTTTTATGACAACATTCTCTTACTAGGATGTCTGTCTCCTTTGTACAAAATACTTACACAAAGTTAATACAAAGATACTTCAAAGTGCAGAAAACTATTTGCCTTTTCTTTCCTTTTTACACTTGTGTTTTATTTGAAAACGTCCAATGATTTATTAAATGAGCATATGCATTTGAATATAATCACATGCTTACAAATAAAACGAAATGAGAAAGAATAATTACTAATAGGTTGAAAGTATAGGAAAATGTCTTTGGGCTATTCCAAGAGAAATCCCCTGTAGTACATCATCTGGATCCCCCCAGCGGAGCTAAAACCTTGAAATACATATCCCCGTCAGAGTTAAATCTTCAAACTCCCAATCCCAGCGGAGCCAAAACTTTGAATTACAGATCCTCAGTGAAGGTGAAATTTTCTTCCCCGACAGAGTCTAATCTTCAACCTTTAAACCCTAGTGGAAACCATCCAGTTTCTTCTAATTTCCCCGGAGAGTCGCTTTAAAACCAGATAATTCCCCAGAGAGTTATCTTAAAACCTTCTTCCCCAGCGGAGTCAAACTATCAATCTACAGCGGAAACCATTCAGTTTTCCCCAGATTCCCCAGCAAGTTGTCTTAAAGTCTGAGAATCAACCAGATAACAGTTAACTTTTGTCTTGTCCCTAACCTAGGACAATTCCCCAGTAGATTGGCATACAACCCAAACTCCTGATCTCCCCAGTAGGATAGCTTACTCTCCAGCAGTATAGCTATTCCCCACAGAGTTTTTTCACTCCCCAACGGATTGAAGATTCTTATTCTTGATTCCCCGGTGAAGTTGCCAGAGCCTTCTTTACTCTCAGCATAAATTCATCAGAATTTTTAATTCCCCTAGCAGATTGAAGATTATCATTTCTCCGCAGAAGCCATCAGAATCTTCCTTATTCTCCAGCAGACCAAGGTTTTCCTTTGTGTGATTCTCGGTAGAGATCTCTAGAGTTTCCCTTGTTCCCCAGCCGAGTAAGTATTCTCATCGTATAATCCCCACGAGTTGCCAAGGATTCTCTATCCCCAAGCAGTCAACAAGGATTTCTCATCTTCAACAGTCAAAGATTTTGAATCTCCAGCAGTGATCAAGGATTTATTTTCCTCAACAAGACAGCTAATCAGCTTACATGCGCATACATTACATTCATATGTCATAAACATTAATAAAACACATATATTGCACCATACATTTCATGCAACATAACTTTGTGTTTCAGCTAATATTTTACCCTTTTCAGGATAAGATTAACAAGCTACCAATATAGGATCATGAAAACAATTTACGGATGCTTCATACATGGATGCTAATCTATCGCTTGTTCAGATTCAGCCTCAGAAAAGAGCCTAGAGATGCTCCATACACTGATGCTAATCTATTGCTTATTCAAATTCAAGGATCATTAAAACAGTTTACGGATGCTCCAGACATGGATGCTAATCTATCGCTTGTTCAGATTCAGCCTCAGAAAACAGCCTAGAGATGCTCCAGACACGGATGCTAATCTATTGCTTATTCAAATTCAAGGATCATGAAAACAGTTTACGGATGCTCCAGACATGGATGCTAATCTATCGCTTGTTCAGATTCAGCCTCAGAAAACAGCCTAGAGATGCTCCAGACACGGATGCTAATCTATTGCTTATTCAAATTCAAGGATCATGAAAACAGTTTACGGATGCTCCAGACATGGATGCTAATCTATAGCTTGTTCAGATTCAGCCTCAGAAAACAGCCTAGAAATGCTCAAGACACGGATGATAATCTATTGCTTATTCAAATTCAAGGATCATGAAAACAGTTTACGGATTCTCCATACATGGATGCTAATCTATCGCTTGTTCAGATTCAGCCTCAGAAAACAGCCTAGAGATGCTCCAGACA